AGTTAGTGATTGCTAGATTTGGCAGATATTAGCTGACATATAAGATTTTGGGACAGAGAATAAATGGCTATCCCCATTAAAAAATAATAATAATTCAAACCTAACTATTCCTTCACTTTAGCTGAAACACCCATATTCCCATGTCGTCATAGAGGAGATGTAAACAGAAAACTCAAAATACATTTTAAGTGGTACACTCAAGTTTGTTTTTTTTTTAAAATCATTTGAAGCCAAATTGTGTAGTTTTGCCTAGTTGGAAGGAAGAGAACCTGCAAAATGCAGGCGGCAGAAAATCATATTCCTCTAGTTGTAAATTGAAGTCCAAAAATATTCACCTTGTGCTCTGGTATTTACAAATTATCCCATCTGCGTAATTCTAGCAATGCTACACTTTGCTAATGTTTGTTGTGTATACCATACAAAGATAAGAAACATGTTGTCAGATCATTGTAGTGAAGTGATTTATAGCATTTACAGGATTATAAAAATACAGATAATGTATTACTTTACTTACTGTCCTAAAAGTAAAATAAATAAATTAAAATACTGAAATAACACTGTGTGCAAATACACAGATCTACACGTAACTTCCTTATCTCTGTTATGTTACTAGGAGAATTGCAAGACTAATATAGTGTGAGAATGCCAGTAGGCTAATGACAGTGGACCTTAAAGCAGATTAAATAATCTTCAGACGATTGTGCTACCTGTTCAAAACAGCAGCTGCTATCCTCAGACAGAGGGTTGAAGCCAGATATCGTTAGGTTTTCTTTGTAAAGGTGCAATGTCTGTAGTTTGTACTTTAAAAGTGTATTGTAATGTAAAACAAATAGGGTTGTACACTAGCACCAAAATTTGGATTCAGAATCTGGATTTAAAATTTGCAGACCTTTGGATTCAGAATTTTAAATATTCAGAACTTCTAGATATCCAGAGTTCAATTCCAGTCAATATGAATACTATATAGTAATTATTTTCCCCTTTAAAAACACACAACCAGGCAAAACATTTTTAAAGCTTTCCCTGTGTCCTTTGACACCTTCCCAGTGGCTTTGCCAAGCAAAAAGAGGGCAAACCAACAGCCAGCAGTACCCATATATTATGAAATGACTGTCACGTATACACTGACTGAACCCTGAACAGTGGGACTGCCAGCAGAAAATGTCAGGAGGACCCAGGAGCACAGGGGAAGCACAGGACAGGTCACCCAGGGAAGTGGCCAAATATCCCGGTCAGCACTGGTTTTACAGGTTTGTATCAGAGCAGATCCCAACAGCAAATCCTCAAGGGACTTAGCTCAGAGGTTGGGAGTTTGATTCCCCCATTGTGTCTCCTGCAGGTAGAGCCAGCCCATACTTTTTACTTTCACTTTTATTGGACTTTTACCCCGCCCCCCTAGACAAAGTCTATGCGGGGCAGCTTACATGAGTAATAAAATACAACAATATAACATACAAATAAAAAAGCCTACACCATGTGGCCTTGGGCAAGTTGCGCAGACCTAGAAGAAGAGAATGGTAAACAACTTCCAGCTACAGTATTCTCTGTCTGGAAAGCCCTGAAAAGTGTCACCATAACTCAGAATTGCCTTGATGGCATATAGTTATTTATTATTATTATATGTGCCTTTCAGCTTGAAACAACTCATGTGAAAAAATGCTTCCTGGTCTGTGTCTGTTTCTAGATTTCATACAGACAGGCATTATTTTACAAGTTTTGCCCTCAACCCAGCCTCCTTCCCTTGGAAAATCCATGGCAACCCCATTCAGGAGTCACTGAATTCTTTGCTCCCATTATGCTTTTGCCTGTTGAAGTTTTGACAGCCTTGCATGTTACCTGGAGAGGGTGTGGCTGCAAGGGACTTTTCTGGGCTAGGCTAGGGTGACCGTCAATCTGTCCAACACTAACCAATAGTTTCCTCCTGCCTGTGAATTCAAAAAGACCCTGACTCTGTCCCTCCTCTAGAATCTGCTGAAGTCTGTTTCTAAAAAGTAGTCATGTTTGTCAGTTTGCTGTTGATCTGTAAGTAAGCGAAACCATTTTTTCTTTCTCCTACTAATGTCTCAGAGTGAGCAATTGAGACTGCAAATGCCAGTTTAATGATAAAAGGGGTGGACTATTCTGGGGAATTTGAAGCTATTCCGCTCTGTGGATCCCTGCACTTCTACTACACAGCTAGTAGCAGGAATTTAGAAAGACAGCATTGTTTTAAGACTCTGTTCTAATGAGTGAGAACAAAATGAAGCTGAGAGCAAGAATGAAATTTTAAAAATCCTTCTGTGCCTTCTGAAGAGGATGAGAGAACTTCTGACAAATTCATTGGAGCAAACTTCAGGAAATGAAATTCTAGTTTCCAGCATGAGGTTTTCTCCTTAAGGTTGGTCATGAACACTATAGTGTAAAATAGACACTGTATGTTGCAGAAAGCTGACTCACAGTCTGACACATCTTGTTGTGTTTGATATTCTCTGATTTCTTAAGCAAATAAGAACATTGCAACAACATACGTAATGACTGCAATCACAATTTTATGGCCTCAAATTATGATGCTTTCCCCATTTTAAATGACATTTTATATTGAGCTGATCTTTGTTGCGTCTGTTTTCAAAAAAGAATTCCATGTTCGCCGCTTTTAATAGCTCTGCCATAAAGTTTTAATGTCTAACGTTTAACATTTCCAAACAGACAACAATGCCTGTATTAGTACAGTTTTTACCTAATGTGTGTGTGTTTGTTTGTGCATTCTGTGCTACCATAGCGGAAGTGACTTATAGCGACCCTAATAGGGCTTTCAAGGTAAATGAGAGGAGTGGTTCCACTCTCCCAGCAAGTTTCCATGGCCAAGTAGAGATTCCAACTTTGTTCACCAGAGTCTTGTTCACTGTACACTACAACAAACTGGGAATCACTAGTATAAAGACATAGAAATCTACTTGTGGCTCTTCATCAGTGCAGAAATAAAGCCCCACTTCAGATTAAATTTCTCCCTAATTTCTGCTAATCTTGAGAAACAAGGTCATACCTTGCCTCTCTGCCTGTGGGAGACAATAGTCTGAGACTTTTGCACACTTGCATACGGTTTGAATAGTTTGTACATATCTCACACCAAATACACCAAAGTTCAAATGGCACCCTTGATACCCAGTTTTGGGAGAGGGGACTGACGGTACTATATTGGCTTTGTGGGCTGGGTTTTTGGTATAGATGCCCTATCCAATATTATTCCTCACCGCACAGATGGAGGCTCAGTGGTCTCAGAAATAGGAGCAAAAATACCATTTGAAGGTTGTGATCTGATGTCCCAGTGAAACCTAACCAGAAGCCTCTGAAAACCAATGAATGGGATTCAAATCCTAATGAAAGTAGGTAATTTAAAAAATGAGTTTTTGTTTAATTCTGCTTGTGTTAATTGAAGTTGTGTAGTGGACAATATAACTGTGTTTTCTGGAGCAGTGCTAATTTTCTCTTTTCTCCTCTTTTCTTTTCTGTGCTTTCTTTTTCTTTTTTTACATGTGGAAGTGCTGTGGAATTGTTGCTTCATGTGAAAAGTCCATCAGTAAGTAGGAGGGCAAAAGCACATTGCCCCTCCATGAGCTCCCCAGCTATTGATATATAAAGGCCCTCTGTCTCTGGTACTGGGCAGAATGTAGAGCTGTATTCAGCATAAATTTGCCCAATTCCTTTTTACGTATCTGAGCTGGCGAACTACACTATATCTTGTGGTAGTGAATGCCAGATTCACTAATTATTGTTTGATGAAGTACTTTCTTTGACCTGTCTTGAATTTCTCAAAAATATAGAATTTGTCTTAAAACTATTGGACATATTCTAATTAACAATTAGTTATTTTTAGATTATATAAAAAAGGGGATAGAAACTGGTGGAACTTTGTGGACTGCAGCTTCAATAATGCCTGACAATTGGCTATGTTAGCTGGGGCTGCTGGAAAGCTGGAGTCTTAACATCATCTGAGGTACCACAATTTCGCTATTTCTAGTATAAATGTTTGCCTTGAACATGTTAAGCAAGGTAAAATCTTTCATACTTTAGACCTAGCATTAAAATGAATTTTGTTAATTTCTCTAATTATTATTTGTCATGTTGTAGTGGTTAAACTGCAGTACTGCAGTCAAGACTCTGCTCATGACCTGAGTTTGATCCTGACAGGCTCAGGTAGCTGGCCCAAGGTTAACTCAGTCTTCTATCTTTCTAAGGTTTATTTATTTATTTATTTATTTATTTTATATCCCGCCTATCTAGTCAACTCAGGACCACTCTAGGCGGCTAACAAACAGGGAATAATAAAAGTAAACATATATAACACAGCATAAATAATAAAAACCATTACAAAGATAGAAAACCAATGGAGAGGGGAAGGAAAGGAACGTCAAAAATTGTCTGGTGGGAAGGCCTGCCGAAGCATCCATGTCTTCAATTGGTACTTGAAGATACCCAGCGAGGGAGCCCCAGGAGGTAGATTGTTCCAGAGGCGAGGAGCCACCGCCGAGAAGACCCGATTTCTTGTTTTCTCTTTCCGGGCCTCCCTCGACGTTACAAGGTTAACTCAGTCTTCTATCTTTCTAAGGTTGGGAAATCAAACACCCAGCTTGCACAGGGGAGGGAGGGACAATCTGTAGCCTGACCAATTAAACTGTAAACCCCACAGAGTGTGCTTTTATGCCATGGGGTGGTGTATAAGCAATACACTTTGCTTTTTGCTTTCATTCCCTGTGCCTGCTGTGGACACAGAGGCAAGCACACAATCGTTTGAATATGTGTTGTTTATGAAATGTATACAAACACATAGTCATATTTAGGATAATATACTGTATATCGATATCTGTATCTAAATATAGTTTCAGATGGTTTATTTTGCTCCAGTTTGATAAGTTATGATTCCTATAACTTATGGTATTATCTCCCTGTTTAGAATTTCACAGACATATGAAAAGGTGATGCAACACTGCAAGACATTCACTTAAATGAGAGGAGAATCTTACCCCTAGATACAATAATATTCCGTAGAACACAAATTTCCAGAAATAGCAGCGTCTAAGAGCATTGATGAGTCTAGGTTTCTTCTTTGAAGCCAATTCTCTGTCCCATTCTCTGGTGAGATAAAATGACTGTTAGGTTGTTTGACCAAATGCACCATTCTGTGGCAGTAGCATGGTTCAGTTCACTCAAGTATATCCAAGGAGATTTACTTAGAGTGACGAGTGAAATAAAGGTTTTGTAAACCCCCCAAAGTTTGATCCTCAATGACTTGATAGCTTAATAAAAGTTCAAGTGTAGTTCAGCCACATATTTGGCAGATTTAAATATCAAGCTATACATCATTCTGCAAGGAGTTAATTCATTAAAAAGGTCACACTGTATGTTTTAAAGAAACCTGTTGTACTTCTTAAAGACCAATCTACAAATAATAGGCAAATAAAGGTTTTGGACCTTCTCCAGTCCCAAGAGAAAGAAAAAAACAAAGGGAGACTATTCTAACCTATTCTATTTTGTGCCTTTTTCACTTTGCTGCTTATAAAGCATGTCAACCACTACTGAAAAGACTTTTTGATGGTACAGTTTTATAGCCCAGTAGTCAGGGAAAATGTCAAACTGAAATTAATTTGTACATTTCAATAGCATTACTTCTAACTTCTTTGTAATGAAAAAAATATTATGAAATATACTCCTATTACATTTTTTGGCATAATTTGTCTAAGTGGTTCATGACATAAACCAAATTTGTCTAAATGGTTTGTGATATAATTGCTTGTGGAAGCCAGTCAGAGATGACTACCTCACTGAAATCAGTAAACGCTGTACATATAATTCCAGCACATGAGAACACACGCAACAGTCACTAGAGACCCAGTAACTTAGTCCATACTTCAGGCCAGTATCACAAACCTTAGATGCACACAGCCATCCTGGGCATTATCCATTAGTACATAATCAATTATCCCCAGCTATTCTCAGAACCTATCTATTTTGAAGGAAATCAACCCTGACTGCTCACTGGAAGGACAGATCCTGAAGCTGAGGCTCCAATACTTTGGCCATCTCATGAGAAGACTCCCTGGAAAAGACCCCGATGTTGGGAAAGTATGAAGGCAAGAGGAGAAGGGGACGACAGAGGATGAGATGAATGGACAAAGTCACCGAAGCTACCAACATGACTTTGACCCATCTCCGGGAGGCAGTGGAAGACAGGAGGGCCTGGAGTGCTCTGGTCCATGGGGTCACAAAGAGTCAGACATGACTTAATGACTAAACAACAACAATTCTCAGAATTCCATAATCCCAGCCAATTCTCTCTTTAGTAAATGTATGTATGGGATGAAATATTTTCCTTGTTTCATCCAGTGTCATGGAAACAACTGGCCTGTGAACGTAACACTTCTTAATTATTGCTTGGATATCATTCATACCAGGGGTTAGATTATTTTTATTCCAGGAAAGACAGATTATACACTGGTCTCAAAAATATGTAGAAAATTGGCCAAATAGGCCTTTTAGATAATAATGTAGTTATTCTAGCGTGTATATAGTGGAAATAAAAGGCCAGGGAAACATACAGAGATGGGGATGGGGGAATATAACAAAACCAAAGTCTATGGCCAGATATACTGGCATGATTCCCTGACAAAGGAGATTGTAAAATGGGGATGGCAGAATCTGCTCAGATATAGTAGATTTTTTTAAAAAAATTCTGGTAATGTGAATTAGAATGCCTGTTATACAAAGAACTACCAATCATTAAGTACCATAGTGATTGATAGCTCTTTGTCTAACAAATTGGGTAGTTTAATTTATGTTGCAAGAGGAGAAATATTATGGATATTTATAAAACTGGAAGGTCACAAACGTTTATGAAATTTGGGCAAATTTGATTTGGTTTCCTAAGCTGAAGTAGATCCACTGAATCAACTGCTGAATGGCGAATCAAAAATTATGAAAAACCTACTGATTCAATGGCTCTGCTTTAGCTGGCACTATAACTGGATTATGACCTTTGAGACAACAGCCAAATTGGATAAACTGTTCGCAGTTAGCTGGATGAAGAACAGAAACAAAATCTCTCAGGTGAAGAAACCTATAATTGTTAATATACTTGAGGCGGCAATATAGATTCCATCCCACACTAAATGTAATTACATTAAACTGATCATCTATTTATAAAATTGCATCTTTGTTAAATGATTAACAAAACCCTAAGATTTCATCAGAAGACAGGTTAAAATTAAAAATGTCTATCTGTCCTTAGGAAATTGTGAATGAGGTCCAATAAATAAATAAAAAAGTGCCATGGCTGGATGGCATTATGGCTGACATCCAGCCTGTCAGCAGAGTGAGGCATTCTTTAGCAACCATTTCAGGGGGCAGTTTTACTATACTGGGAAACAAAACAATTTTAAAACTTTGAAAAGAACACAAGGATGTTTTGATGATGAATTAGCATCTTAGAGCTAGCCAAAGTGGAGCCTTATTATTCCTTATCTCTGCCAAATAATGTTTATAAACAGGTTGCTATGTATCCATCTCTTTTTATCAAGGCTAGGAATCTAACAAGTAATATCTAAAGAACAATAGCTGACTGAATAGCTCAGTGGTTTAGGTCTCTGGCTGCAAAGGTTGGGAGTTCGATTCCCCACAGTGCCTCCCGGAAGAAGTGCCAGCCTGTGTGGCATTGATCAAGCTGCACAGTCCCAGGGTGCCCCCAGAAGAAGGGAGTGGGAAACCGATTCTGAGAACTCTCCACCCAGAAAACTGTAGAAATGGTCGCCAAAAACCAGAATTGACTTCACAGCATGCCATTGCAAAGAACAATTGATGTTGAATTTCTGCTAATATTTCTATCTCCTTTCGTTTTGAGATGCTGCCAAAATTTTCCGTACAGTAGACTGAACTTATATACAGTTCTACAATTTTGAATTGTTAAAAACAATTCATATAAGGATGTTTCTGCTAATATTTCTATCTCCTTTCGTTCTGAGATGCTGCCAAAATTTTCCATACAGTAGACTGAACTTATACGTATACAGTTCTACAATTTTGAATTGTTGGAAGCAATTCATATAAGGATAAAAGTTTAGAGCATGAATTCAGTTTGTGTGTATGCATGTGCACACACACGCATACATATGCAGCATGCCATTGCAAAGAACAATTGATGTTGAATTTCTGCTAATATTTCTATCTCCTTTCGTTTTGAGATGCTGCCAAAATTTTCCGTACAGTAGACTGAACTTATATACAGTTCTACAATTTTGAATTGTTAAAAACAATTCATATAAGGATGAAAGTTTAGAGCATGAATTCAGTTTGTGTGTATGCATGTGCACACACACGCATACATACTGTATATGCGCACAAGTGCATCAAAGACTTAAAAAGTTAGTTTGGCCACAGCTTCCAGATGCTAAACCCAGAACCAACCCATCCCCATTTGTCTATCTTGAAGGCCCAAATATGCTTGCCCACAATCACCCATATTTTACCTACCAATATTCTATTTATATTTGCTGTACAAAACATAGACTGATACGGATACATACCTTTCCAATTTTTCTGAGAGGTTATCTGCAGAATCTGTGGCAGGGATCTGATAAATGTCTGACAATTCTAGACGTCGTCTGTAGCCTTTTTTCAAAATAGGCTTTGTCCACCTAATAAATAACATTCCTCAAATTAATCTAGAGATATATACAACATAAGAGCTGGAACCAAAAAATTGCCATCCCAAACCAAATACAGTAGTGTTGAGGGGCAGATGGTGTTTTATTCATTAATTTCCCAGAGAACAATCCCTAATTTTCTGTGACAATTCTGAAATCTCCTGTTTTTGATGTAATTTGAAGGAGTTTTGTTCTTCATAGAAAAAAAATATTTATACCCCAGTTAATATGCCCAAACCTTTTGTTGTATCCTTGATTTCCAGTTATAATACTCTATAAATTTTGTAGTATTACATGATTTCCAGTTATAATACTCTATAAATTCTGTAGTATTACACATACCCTAGAACACATGGTTGTGCAACTAAGATCTATGTGCGGCTGAATAAAATAAGCTGGGTGGTAACTTTAAAAAGGACTAAGAATGGTAACGAGCATGGAGGCTACTGGAACTGTATAAAGAGTCCTTCAAAAATGCAAACTAATGCAAAATGCTGATGTGCTTCACTGTAAACAGAAAGTTCTAATACAAGATTTCCACTACATGTGTGATTCTTACTTGGTTCAAGATTTCAACCATGACCAAAACTTTCAACAGTAAGTTGATAAAGTAATATATTATCCCTCTTGCTTATGCCATGCATATTTCAGGGAGACAACCCACAATGTAATAAATTGTTCCTGTCCACACTTGTTTTTCTTTTATCAGGAGACTGTAATTTGGCATTTTGCCACTTTTAAGGTAAGGGGCAACCGAGTGATTAAGCTGCATGGCTTTTAAATCCTTCTGGGAAGACATTGTGTGAAACCCAAAGAGTATTTCTGGATCATATTCAACTCTCTTTCAAGTAAGACTATATTTGCACAAGCAATCTAATGCAGATCTTTCCGCATGCTAAACTAACCTGCAGGATTTTTGCCAAAAATATGCACCCAGCCCCACAGTCCTATGATCACATCCTTGCTGGTGTGGGTGGGAATAGGTATGACTAAAGTTATTTCTATATCAGATTACATGTGCTTGAAAGAGAAAGAAGGTTTCTATACTTGTTTTTCTAAGATGCTTCTTGTCTTTTTTTGTCTTTTTTGTTTTGTTTTGTTTTGCAAAACACATGGGCTTTTTAGTCCTGAAACAACACTGGAGAGAAAGAGGCTCAGTCCTTTTCTGTGTGATATAACACCACAAGAAAGAATTATATATTTCTTTTTTGCAGTCCAAATGGACCTGGCATTCTGAGGTTTAACGATTTCTGGCTGAAATCCTGTTATTTAGTGGAGCAGACTGTGCACTACAGTAGGCCCGCTGAATGAGTGGGAATTTGGAGGGTCAACTCCTTTCTAAGTTCCATTGATTGAAATGGGCTTACTCTAGTTGTCACTTAATTGAGAATAGTAAATCACAACTAGAGTAGGCCTATTTGAATCAATGGAAGTTATGAAGAAGTTTATTCACCATATTCGCAGATTCAGCAGACCTACCCCAGTGCAGTTTTCTCCCCTAAGTAATAGGATTTTGGCCTCTATTTTCTTGGACTGATTTTTCTTGCTTCTTTCCTCAGTACCACAGTGTGCAAAATTTCTAAATGGTCAGGCATCTGAGTGGAGGAGACGGGCTGCAAAGTGCCAAAAACCTGTTGGGCAGCTAAATGAACTGGCATGAACCACCAGTTCAGCAGTTTGTGCCCATCTTTACTCTATGCTGTTGTGCTGCAATGGACTAACATGTCTTCTGCCCTGGAAACTTCTGCAGTGGAAGGCAGTCTCTGGGGTAGTATTTTATAATGCTCAATTAAGCTCTAAATTCTTATAGGATTTGTGGGAGTGGTGCTTTCCAACAGCTGTGAGCTTAGGCATTGCTAGATAAATACATATCTAGTATTTAGAAGCAGTATTCTGCAGAAAAAGACTGTCTGATTATTCTAACAAGAATCAGTCTCAAATAATACACTTGGGAGATATAAGAGTTTTATTTGATTGTCCAGTGTCTCAGGCACATAATGCTGAAAGACCAGTATACCTAGACAGATAATGCTCTCAGAGGATGAGACACTCATGTCTCTTAGTGTGTGATCTGCACTCTTTATAAGCTGTGTATTCTAAGCACTCTACTTCAGCATCACTCAAAATGTTTATCATGCTTTAGGCACAGTCTTTTTTTCTAGCTCCATCTGATGGTAGGCTTAAAAGACTTGTCCAAGTTGCTGATACATTTGACAGTGACAAATTGTCGTCTGTGGGGGCAGTGTTTAATGGTGGCAGCCGATGTTGTTGCTTTAAATGTTTTTAGGTTTATATTAAATTAATATTTTCAAATTTGATTATTTATTTCATATTATTTTAATACTGTAAGTTATATGTTTTTAGATTCATTAATTAAGTAAACAAAGACTCCAAGTAAAGCATGTAAATCCTATATCCATGAAATGCAGTACGTAGTTGTCTAACTTGCAAACTAAAGTAGACTTTTTGTAAGGCAAATATAAAATATAAGAACCTGAGAAGGGCCATCCTGGATCAGGAAAAAAGGCCTTCGAATTCTAAATTATCTGCTTGACATATTTCAGTGAAATGGCTCATCATGATATCATGTGGTGTCATTTTATGAAATATATATATTTCAAACAAGGGCACTTGAAGGCATTTTTGCCCATGTTGGCTAGGGATTATGACAGCTATAGTCCCACTCCCAATATATTCAGAGGGTACCACGTTGAGCAAGGCTTCCTTAATGTATGCCCCCATAAAGGAGCCACTATAAACAACAGATGAAAATCCAACTAAAGAGCCTTAGCCATGCAAGGTGAAACCAGAAGACCTTTAATGATCTTTCCTACTCCAGAGCAAGAGCACAGTATTCACTATGCCATACTGACTCTCTCACACACCCTGACCTCCTCTTGAAAACAACACTGGCGAGAAACTAAAAATAACTGGAAAAGAAAGCTTAAGGACAGAGTCTTGATCCACCCCATAATAATAAGAGGTTTTAAATGCAACTCCATAATGGTCAGACTAGTATACCAGGAAATAGATGTGATTAGCTACAGTATATAGATATCAAGTTTGTGTGTACACATTCAAAATGACCTCTATTAAAAGAAAATCAAGTATACCGGGGGGGGGGGAGAAGAATGTGCCATATGTGTACACAATACCTCAACAAACTGTATTTAGTTTTCCTGCTACACTGCCAGCATGACACAAAACTCTCTCGACTTTCATTGTGTCTTAACGAGCTAGTAGTAATACCACTATTAGTAATAGCACTGTATTTGATTAAGCTCTTCAGCCACAATCAAACAATGTAATAATTCTTGCCCTCTTTCTAGTGACCTATTGGATTGACTTCTTTGAATCATACAAAGCTTTAAGCAAACAACACAGTAATCAGTGAAAGAAACAACTTTTAAAATGTTCTAAATCAGTTGTGCTGTGTAGAATCAGATCTTCTCTAACTGACATCCAATTTTAATGTGTGGTATTAGTTATAAAGGAATAATTTTATCTGTGATGAACACTCCTCTAACCAAAAAAAAAAAAAAAAACTTGGCTGGCCATATGCTTTATCATTCAGAAGAGAAGTGATGCCACCCAAAATAAAATAATGACATCCACATACCATAGGGAGATTTATTTAGTTATTTATTACACTTTTATCCCAAACATCTAGTGGCATTGCCACTACTCTGGGCAGCAATAAAACATAAACACAAAAACACAAAACTCTCACCAACCAAACCTCTGATCAAAGAGAGGACATATCCAAAAAGAAAAAAAACAGCTAAAATCCTGTTGGCATAACTTATGCTGCATAAAGCTGATGATGTCAGCAGAAGTGACAATTTTTCAGAAACTAAAAATTTCTAACTTAAATCCCAGGGCTCCCAAGATCCCCATATACTGTAATTGTTTTCATCATCAGTAGCCCAAAGGAGGCACGAGATGGGAGGGGAAGTCTTTAATTGCCAAAAATTGGTGCCTATCATTGGTTGCAGTGGTTTTTAATAATTAACAACTTACCTCCCCTCCTGTGGCTCCCACAGGTTTCTGATGATGAAAGCAATTGCGTGGAAACTTCAGGAACTTTGGGACAGAGACTGAAAATGTTTAATTTCTGAAAAATTGCTACTGCTAATTACATTATCAGTTTTATACAACCTAAGTTATGCTAATAAGATTTTAGCCATTGGAGGAGACAAAAAAAGTACACGAATGGTAAAGATCAGTAGACATGTTTGTTTGTTTTTGTTGTTAATTTTGTTTTGATCCCACCAGTTTTTTGCTTTTTAAAGAATTTTTCTTTTTCATGGCAAGTGGCTGAAATGTGGGAAAGTTGTTTACAATGGTTTGAATGACGATGCTGGAGAAGCTATATTGTCTAGCTCTGCCTGTGCAAATTCTGCAGCGAGATATAACTGTGGAGACTGACCTTCTGCTGTATGAAGGTTTAAAAAGAAGCCGAAATAGTCTTATGAGTTTAAAAAAACCCACGGAATATTGAGGACACAGATATCACAACAATTTAAAGCAGATCATCTCGTCATCTGGGAAGGAAACTTCTAGGTTCACATCAAATTAATATATCAGAAATAGGCATTTTGCTTTTATCTTCTATTTTTGGGATGGAGAGGGGTTCCCAGACTCTGACCTACCCCTTTGTTCCCACCATAGTTCCGGTAAGAATGATCCTTTCCTGCGCCTGACTTTTACAATGAAAAGAAAGATTCCATTAGGTGTAACTGTGAAGCTCTGACCTCAGAAAATGAATTGGGTGGCATGTTTTAAAACACAGCTGCTGTGTAAATATGTGAATAAGCCACAATAAAAAAAAGGCAGAAGGAAGAGTCAGTCATGTATCTTAGATGTTTTGTAATACACTTATGTATGTTGGGCATACTCCAGTTTTATGGAATAATACCTCTAGGAAATTGTATAGTATGCAATGATGGGAACAGAAAAAGCAGCAATTCCTTATTGTGTTATCTCTGATT